AAAAAAAAAAAAAAAAAAAAAGTAAAGACTAACTATTTAAACTTACTGATTTACAGATTCAGCTTTATTGGTCTGTTAAAAATAAGATTTACAAGTTATAGCATGAGTGACATTAAGCATGCATAAGCCTACGTGCACATTTGTGCATATGCATGATTAAAATGTTGTACAAAACAAAGAAATCAATGCAAGTAAATGGTTGCACAGTTTTGAGGTTGGTGCAATGAGATCTTTTCACTGTCTCCGAGTTGTTGTGTTGAGTCAGTGGATCAGGCTTGAGCTTGTCCGGGTGTGAATTAGCATTTGAACTGCCGGTCAATCAAAGTTAATTGTGTTGCTACTGTAATCCCTTTGATCGTGATGTTTGCCGACCGCGCCAAACGCCGCTGTGATGGACGGTACGTGGCGCCAGAGACTCCACAGGCAGCAGCATGTGTTAAAACACCACCATTTGAACTACAGTCGAATCAAACACCACAGTACAGAAACACAGACAAATAGCAGCAACTATTGATTTTTTTTATTATTATTTATTTTTTTAAATCATAACGAATCACTTTTTTTTCTAATCGCTGGATTGATCATTTTCCACTGATGTCACGACAGAATAAGCCCTAAAAGTCCAAAATATGATTTAGAGGCTCGTATACGCAAAGTTAGTCAAACCCAGAATTTAGGCGCAGATGTTGAAAAGTGCTGTAGAACAAATAAACGATTTTCTTTATTGGCTATAGTTTTCGTTTTTATATTATTCTGACTATTTCACTTTTTTTTTTTTTACAGTAGCCTAACTTTTTGTTTCGTCATATAATTTACACACTTTTATTGAAAGTTATATGGAGACGATTAAATGAACATGTAAGCACATAATTCTGAAGGCAAAAGTCAAATAACAAGGATTTAACTGGGAAAAAATACAATTTAAAAGTTTTACTGGCCATTTGAAGCCTGTTGCGACATTATGAAATATTATTACAATTTCAAATAGGCCCATCCGTTTTCTATGCAAATATATTGTAAAATGTAATTTATTTCTGTGATCAAAGCTGTATTTTCAGTATCATTACTCCAGTCTTCAGTGTCACATGATCTCCAGAAATCATTCTAATATGCTGATTTGCTGCTCAAGAAACGTTTCTGATTATTATCAATGTTGAAAACAGTCGTGCTGCCGAATATTCTTTTGGAAAACGTGATATATACGCATATTTCGCATGATAAATAACGCAAAATGAGTCAAATACAAGGATTTATTATGGGGAAGATGTTGACAATTGGTGTAAAATATTTAAAAAGTTTTACTAATCATTTAATGTCATTGTTTTTAAGTTTCTTGGCTTCAAACTTTAAAATGCCATTATTAAAGCTGCAGTTTTCGCCATAAATGCGCCACTCGGATCCAGTTGTTCTGACACTAAGAGGATGCAGACAGCTGGATGAGCCAGAGGTTCTCACAGACAAGCTGGCGCCAGGCTTTCACACAATCACAGGATATGTAAAGACTTCAATAACGACCCATTAGGCCTAATGATTGAGAATCGATCAGGCGTTAACTCCTCCATGCATATGTTAATGTGGTGCCGGGACGGGCTTATATATATGCAGGCCGCTTCTGGAGGCCTGGCAAACAGTCTTGGATTTTACTGGGATAGATTCACGTCCTCAGACACACAGACAGCAATCATGGTCAAGAAGTTTTCTGTGGACTGGCTCGCCCAAAGCTTTCACGATTCGGCGCCTCTGGGGGTTCTGGAGCCGGAGAAGACGACGCACAGGCCGCACGTGCCGTGTCTGGTTCAACCGAGACCTCCAACATCCTACGACAA